CCCTAGAGAGTATTTCTGCCATGTGATCACCCTAGTGTTGATCAGTTAGTACCAATTTGATGGTGAGTACAAGTGGAGCCCGTTCTTCTGCTCTTGTGGTGCCCCACTTTGGATAATGGGCTGAAGTTTAATCCAGGAAAGTGTAAGAGGTGCCAAGAGCCTAGCTTTGAAGAGATTTTTGTAGGAATCAAGTGGTGCAGACGAGGAGAGAGAGTACTCCAAAGTGGGGTATGGTGTGGTGAAGGCAGACTTCAGAGTTCAAGGCCTGTTCCTGCCTTAGGATAAGCTAAAGTCCTTACCATTGCCTGCCAGGCCGAGCAGGATCCAGCCCCTGCCTACCTCTCCCCTGCTCCCTGTACTCCAAACACCTGTGTTGGAAGGAAAGCAAACTTCTATGACTTACAAGGAACACTGCCAAGGAGAGAAGGTGGCAAAGGAGCCAGTGTGACTCCATCACGGCTCAAGGAAGATGGGCCTTGGCTCTGGGACAAGCCCATGTCCGTCTCTTGGCAGGGAGCCCCTCAGAGGGGAGGTGGAGGATTAAGGTGCGGCAGCTGGAGGTCACTGGCCACTAGGATCTTTCCTCTGCTCTGACTCCAAGTCAAGTTTTCTGAGCCATCCGACTCTGTGTCAACTGTCCCTGGGGAAAGGGTACGGGCATGTTTGTCCCCTGGATGGACCCATTCCTCATCGTAATGAGTTGTCCAGGTTTTTGGTCTATCTGTCTTTTGTGAGCTTTGTCCACCACCAGCACAAGAAAGTACACACTTCCCTCGAAGACATGCTGCCGGTTTCCATGGTGAGTTCTGGCCAGGTGGGTACGAGTTCCTTGGGGCAAGTGGGGCAGGGTTAACTCCACTCAGCAGTCAATCCTCCAGGTGAGAGCAGGAAACAGGACCCCAGGAGGTGGACTTTAACGCAGGCACAGAAGACCCTTAGGATTTCTTGGGCCTCACCCCTTGGAGAGTAGACATTGGTAATAGACAACATTTATTGGCTACTGGTAGGGCTCAGGCCCCACATGTACTTCATGAGGTAAATAGCCCAAATTATGGCTACACTACAGCTCCATTGATAGGTGAATGAAAACAAACTTTCCCTGGGGGAAAAAGAACAACCCAGATTTTTCTTATGAGGTCTTTAAAAATTAGCCCTTCACCAGTCTGAGAGCATGAAACTCAACTAATTATCTTCTCAAGATTCTTTCCAGAGCGGAGACAAAAGTCGTGGGTGGAAAATGCTGACCCCTGGTGGACATTTCTTGCACTACTCTTTTACTCTTTTGTCTCCACATACATGAGACCAAGAGGCTGATCTTCCCTCTTTTTAATCTTTCTCCCCACACTTTTTTGAGATAACTGGATGGAATATCAAGCATGTTGATATTTGCCACTGTGGCTTAGGGATTTTAGAAATTTCAGGGGTCCAGAAGGTCTCACAGCCCTGGGATGCTCACGTCCTTGTCCCACCCCAGGCCAACCCCAACCAAGAGAATCAGAGTCTCTGGGTGGGGGGCGGCCAGTCATTTTTGTTAAAAAGCTCTGCCCCTGCAGTTCAGCCCAATGAGAACGCAGATGTCGCCCAGGCCTCTCCTTTCGTGAGTGAGAAAATCGAGGCCTAGGGAGGGGAGGTTGCCTGACCAATGTCTGCCCACTAGTTGGTAAGGAAACTCTGGCCTGTGAAAGCCTTCAAGATTTGAATTCAGTTGAATTTTCAAACAGTTTTTCTGGGATTCCGTGGTGTTATAGTCGGTCGGGCCTAGAAATGACAGAAAAGGCCACACTCTTCTTGGGTGCTTGCCTGTTTCCCTGTCTGTGTTTTTCTCTGCCACTGGAGCTCCTCCTGCCTCCTGGTCACCCATGCGCTGCCTCCTGATTGTACAAAGGCCTCACTTGAACATGCGCCCCGGGCCTGGCCTTCCTGAGCCGTGTGCCCTGTCCTGTGTTGTGTGAGTGAGCCCAAGACGGCCTCTGCGAGCCGGCCCTTCACTTGCTGATGTCCCCATTGCAGGCTGAGAGCAGACCCCTTAGCTCAAAACCCTTCCCGGTGCCAAACTCAAACATCTGCACGTCTAATTGTTTTAAATGAAGCCCAAATAAGCAGAATTTTAGCCATTTAGAGTCTGCTTGCTTTGCATACCCTATGAAACTGTACCCGTATCTGCTAGCCAAGAATAAGCCCCAGCCATGAAAACCCCAAGCCACTGCTGCCCTTTGGAGCTCTCTGATCCAGAGATTCCCCTTTGTGTTGCTGGGTGACATCACCTGGACACATAAGTCCCCCATCCAATTCCCTTCTCCCCTGGAAGTCCCCTTGTCCTCCTCCCCTCCTGGCTGGGACCCCATCTCCACTCTGTAGCATCTGGACAGACTCCTGCCATGAGGGACCTACCACAGTGCAAACTGGTCAAAGCTTCACCCCTAAAGCTTGTGTGTGCTACTGCCACCTTGTGGTCATATCTTTTCCTGGCTCAGCCCCCAAATCCCTGGAAGCCTTTACACCCTGGACTTGTCCGTTTCCCTGCTTTCAGAATTTCTTCAAAACTTCCCTGGTCTGAGGTGGGATTGCTAGCCCACCTAACAAATTAACCCCTATTGATATATCAGCAGCCAATTCATTTACTCACCAAATATTCACTGAACACTCAGTACATTCCAAGCATTGGTCTCGGTGCTTGGGATACATCGTAGAACAAAACATGAAAATCCCCGCATGGGTTGGGCTGACATTCTAGTAGGATGATGAAGGCTTAACACTCTTCCTCTTAGGGATATTTTACTGAACACTTAAATCCAAATAAGGAAGTGTTAACAGAGGAGTTTTCAGTATTGTCAATGAGCTAATAGGACATAGAGTAAGGATAGGGGCTGGCTTTGTAATATGAGAATCCCTTTAATAAATATGCAGAGCTTATGCACTGCATTTTAAAGCAGGAGAAGCAGTGCTTCTTAAACTCTAACCTGCATGTGATACCCTGGAGACCTGGTTAAGATGAAGATCATAAGTCAGTAAGTCTGGGGTGAGGCCTGGGAGTCTGCATTTTAACTCCCAAATGCTGCTCATGCTGCTGATCCGTGGACCACACTTGGAGCAACAAGGCTTTAAAGCAGATTCCTTTGAGCCCTGGTTCTTCCAGGACTAGTAATGGTAATAATAATATTACTACTGAGGGCTGTTGCAAAGATTAAACAAGGTAACTCAGCCATCTGCATTAGCTATTATCTGCATTTAGAGATGAGGAAATTGAATGCTCTGAGATGTTAACTAACTCATCCATGAGCACACATTGCAAACAGGAGAGCCAGAATGTGACTCCAGAGTCCAGAGCTCACCTGCAAGACTGTTTTCTGCCTTGCCTGTTACTAACCTGTAGCCTGCTGCTTGACCTAGTCTGCATGAAGGGTCTGGGCCTCGGGCTTCACCTCTGTAACATGGTGGGAGGATGCACACAGAGCTCCACACATTAGCTGCTATTGTTGCCATTACCTTGATGGGGTTCTGCCTTAAACCGCCTCCTTTTACCAGGATTGAAAATGTATCAACCACACAGGTGCTTTTATCACTCACACAGCATTTCACCTATATCATTGCATTCTAGCCCTGCATCATCCATGTGGGCAGGTGTGGCAACTCCTGTTTTATACACCAGAAAGACAAAGCTCAGAGGTGTTGGGTGACCTCATCATCGTCATAGGATCCATGATCTAGAGAAGACCGTAGACATTTTCTCCAGTTCATTGTCTTTTAACCTGCCTAGTTTAGTTTGTTTTTAGCAATGAAATCTCCTCTTCAAACAAAGTCCCGTGGAAAGCCCAGGTTGTAAAGCAGAGAAAAGCAGAGGGCTCTGGTGGGAACAAGTTCAAGGGATGGAGCCAGTCCCCCTCAGCCTTCCTTCTCTTGGGCTCCCCATTTCCAGGGACCTCAGAGACAGGGGTCCAAGAAGCTCATGGCCCAGCTGGGGCCTGCCTCTCAGACTCCAAAGACCAAGTCCAGAACAGACCCAACTGAACCTGTGCAGGAGGAAGGAGCCCACTCCTTGCTCGCCTGACTCTGTCAGCCGAGGTGTATTTGTGAAGAGATCGCTCTTCTTGTCATGCTCTCACACCTTATGGGGCCAAATTCAACACCCCACCCATTAATCTCATAATCCCACAGATGACCCTCTCCTCACACCCCGGGGCAGGGTGGGGCAAGTCTTTTTATGGTTCAGGCATTTTGAAATTATGAAATAAAACATGAGCCTGCTGTTTGATTTTAGCCAAGTCACCTCCTTCCTTGGGGCCTGCTCTTTATTTGTTCAAGGAGAGTGTTGACTTGGATGGGGGTTTTCCAAACAGAGCTCCTTGGACCCCTTTCTCGAAGGTCCCTGGAAATGGGGAGCCCAACAGAAAACTGCCTAACCACATCTATGCCAGGAAACAGGATGTTGCCTGGACCCTAAAAGCCCCCAGGTGCTCCTGTCTGCCCTTCCATCTGCCAGGCACCAGCCCCATCCAGCCTTCAGGGAGGACATGTCCTGCTTCTCCCTGCATCACCAGCCTCTACATCCTCCCAACACAACAGCTCACTGTTGGCTGTTTCGAACTTTATAGAAATGGAATCACCCTCTCCGCATGCCTTTGTGATTCTCGTACGCACATCATGTTTGTGAGATTCATCCATTTTCTTGGGTGCATGCTGGCTGTCATTCATTCATTTTCTTTGCTCTCAAACATCGCATTATGTGCAGATACGCAATTCATGTATTCATTCCTCTGTGATGGGCGTTTGGCTTGTTTCCAAGGGAGGCTATTGTGGGCAATGCTGATCCACACCTTCCTGGCAGGGAGATTTGCCCTCATGTTATCCAGGGACAGTGAGTCCCAAGGAGGAAAAGGACTCGTAGAGGGGAGGCAGCGAGGCCCTGACCCCTGGGGTGAGAAAGACCTGTTGGCTTCCCCATCAGCACTGTATGCCCCAAGCCTGGCAAGGCCAAGGACACAATCAACAAAGTAGGTGTTTTCAAGCTTTTATTGTAAAACAGAGCTGAAGTCACACAGCAGGTGGGGAAGTTTGCACCCAACACAAACAACACACATTTACTGAGCACCTGCTAGGGGCCAAGCCAGGTGCTGGGCCCTGCAGGGACCTGAGACACATACAAGCCAGGCTCCCTGTTCTCTGGGCCACAGCCTGGTCAGGGGACAGACAGAAGCACAGCCATCTCTCATACAAGTCTCAGAGGGTCAGCAGTGCCACAGTGGTCAGGAAGCAATTCATCCCTCCTGGCAGAGGAGGAAAGGACTCCTGGGAGCCATGTTTGCACAGTTCCTTGGGAGCTCGGGAACTTTCCACAGGAGGCAAAGCGCTGCAGGCAGCTGTAGATCTGGAGTGGAGATGGAGCTCAGAGCCACGTAGAGGGGTCTGGGCAGAGGGGCCGACCGTATGGGACTGTCTCAAAAAGGGAAAAAGTTAGGGGACCAATATAGTACACTAACTTCTAATTTGTACAGGTTGGGATGTTACAAAAAGAAGGGGGAAGAGGAAAAGCTACCATCGACTTTCACCATCATTTCACAAATGAAGGAACATTTTAAATCCCCCCATCCCCTTCCAGAAAGGACATAGTTTCCAAATGAAGGACTCTCCTTCACTTTGAATACAATTGGCTCAATTTTAAAAATCATGAAATCCTCAATTTCCATATTCCATAAACCCTTAAGAAGTTCCCCATGAACTGGCATTAGTTTGTAAATCAGGGTGTGGGAGCCACTTGATTGGGGGTCAAGCGAGTGGCCTAACAGATCTGGGGCATGGACGTGTTGGGGAGAGGAGAGCAAAGGAGTCCACACTAAGCAGATGGCCTGGATTTTACTCGGAATGCAGAGGTGATATGGAAGAGCTTTGAGCAGGGGCTGCTGTGGTCTGATTTGCGTGTTAGAAAGACCACTCTGGAGGCAGCATGGAGGGTGGGTCAGTTGAGAGGCTGGAGATAGAGTCCTGTTACCAGGGCTCTTATGCCTCTTTCCAAGGGTTCACCCTCCCAAGGCCGCTCCTCAGTGCCCCTATGGCCAGGAGCCCCAGGGCAGGGAGGAGAGGCAGTCCCTGGAGTCGTGATATGCCAGGAATGGGGAAGGGCAGGCCTGATCAGTACTACTGGTCTTGCTGGAAGTAGAACTTGGTGACTGTGATGGACTCTTCAGGATTGTTGGTGAGGCTGACAGGCTGGTCGGCTTCCAACGCTGTGCAGAGGAACCAGCCCGGGCAGGCAGCCGACTCGAAGGTGGTGGTGGGGCCAGTGTCAGAGCGGATGAAGGTGAAGCGCTTGTCCTGCTGTCTGTTCTCACTCAGGTCAGTGATGTTAACTGCCTGGAAGTCAAGAGATGGGCAGGGAGAACTGAGGCCTGGGAAGTCCTGTGCTGCCTACCGCTCTACCCCCCACCATGCAGAGTAAGTGCTGGGAAATGTGGGCCTGGAGACCACTGGCAGGAGACCCCCGGTCCCAGGTTTCTTAGGAAAGCACTGACACAAAGTGGTGTCCTATTGTCACACTTTGATTTTGGGAAATCCAGGCACTCTGGCCACAGACCAGTAAGTCTGGTAAACACATGGCACCATCAGCAGAGGCCAAGGCTTGTGGAGGCTGGTGCTTTGTCAGGTCTGAGCTTTCAAGGAGAGGGAGGGGTGAAGAGTCTTGCAGCTCATTCAATGCATTACACACAGTATCTTGGTCATCCCTACTCCACACAGAACAGGCAATCACCCTCCAGAACAGTGTCCCTGTACACTGGTGCAGGGACATGACAGTGCCATGGTTATGGCCATGAACATTGGGGTTAAGAGCATGTCCAACAAGCTCCTGAGACAAAGCCATTTTCCCCAAGGCTGGGCAACCCATCAATACTGCATGGGGTCATGGAGCACAGGGTCCTGGATGGGACACTGACTAATCAATGTGAGTAGATGAGGAGTGGAAGAGAGGTCCCAAGGGTTGGCTTTGCTAGAAGAGGGCAGGTCCAAGGGAGTTGGGAGCCCTTGAGCAAGAAAGTAGCACACAGAGATTCAGGCCCCGTGGTAGGCTGCTATAGGAGTGGTGTCCAATGACCACATAGCCCAGCGTTCACACCCTCGGGAAGTCCCTTCCACGTGAGTCTGGACTTGGCCACATGACTGACGTGATGCAAGTAGAAGTTTAATAAGTGCTTGCACATTGAGGCTTGTCTTTTTGGAAAAATCCCTCTCGGAAGCCAGCCACCATGCTGTAAGGAAGCTCAAGCCGACTACTGAACCCGAGAGGCCATGTGGAAAGAGAGCCTGGAGGGTGAGAAATCATCTTGGCTGCCCCAGCACCAGCCAAGTGCCCTACCAAATGCAGCCACAGGAGTAACCCAGTGTGTTCTTCCATGTGGACTAGAACTGCCCAGTCAATCCTGGCTAATCCACAGAACCACAAGAACAAATCGTGGTTATTTTAAGCCACTGGGTTTGGAGGTGGTTTGATATCCAAAACAGGTCCTTACCTCCAACTGGAGTCTGATCTCATTGCCAGACCTGATACAGGACAGGCACAGCTTGCCTCCGTGGATCCCCAGGAACATAGCATGAGGCTTGATGGGCACCACATCTATCTTTTCTGGGGAAGAGCAGAGGGGAGGGCCAGGTTAACAGGGAGAAGAAAAGGTGGAGATGGTGAAGAGACCCTGGGTATTTTTCTGTCTCTCCCCAACTAAAACCCCAAGGTCAGAAGGACAGAAAGGTCCCATCTTCCTGGTCTGCAACCAAACAGAAGATCAAACCAAGCACATGGTCTAATTACTCCTAAAGTACTGCCATTCTAGATTCTGCTCCACGTGGTCTCTCCTCTCCCTTGCTTTCCCCAGGATACCTGTGCTCCAGGGCAACAGGTTTGCTGCTGAGGGGCAGGGAAAACAGCACACGAGGTCATAAGTGGGGCTCCATGGAAGCCCAGGGAACTTTGAACCACCTCTTCCCCTTTGGGTCTCTACTCTCCTGTAGCAGTAAAATTCTCAGTTTCTCTGTGCTTCTGAACACTCATGATGAGAACCACCAGAAAGGCAGGAAAGGTGGGTCTCGTATTCTTTCAGAGCAAAGCGAGGGGGAGAGAGCAAGGGAGAAGTGTGGGTGGGGAGATGGACATAATGTCATCCACTGTACCAAACAGGGAAGTGAAAACACCTGGAAGGTCAGTGCAGAAAGAATTGCACATCCCATCACCCAACAGCCCTCATCTTACTAAAGAGAAAACTGAAGAACAGAGTAGGTGGAGCTTGTCCAAGTTCATCCAGCTTGTTTAGAGCATGGGCCAGAATATGACTGAGTATGGAGTCCAGGAATAAGGGATATAGCCCAGCCTTATATGTGGTGTATTAATTTGGGGTGGGCTTAGGCTTTGAAGAACACATGAGCATGGGAGGCTTAATAGGCACAGGGGGAATGGAAGGGTCAGTTTTGCCTTCTGGGCCCCGTCCCTCCTGGCTGTGGCCCTGGGACACTGTGCCTGTAGGTGGTGGCTCCTAACCTAGACACTGCTCCCCCTGCCCTCTTGAGGCTGCCCTCATATGTGCCCTTTAGTGGTCAGGCTTCCCCAGCTTCAAACTCAGGTACAAAGACCCAACGGGGATTAGAACCTCACACCTAAGATTTGGGGAGGGGGGAAAACTGTGATACTTCACACCCCAGGGGCAAAGGGGCCTGATGCCCATACAACATTGGCTTTCCTGCAACCACTCACCTTCTAATTTAGTATTTGGTCCTTGCAGATATCCAGCAACTAGTTGGTTGTTCCTCAGGTAGAAGGTCTTCTGGTTTACATCCCAGATCCTGAAATGCACAAGGACTCAGCTGGAGTGGACAGCCACTGTGTGCCTGACCCTGTGCTCAGTACCTTCTCACAGCCCCCAGAGCTCACAGAATCTGCATCCAACTCTGCTGGGGCTGTGGTACTGTAGTATACCCATGCCACGGGTGAGAAGACTGAGGCTGGCAGTGGTTAGGAGATGGGATGGGCCTGATTCACACAGCTGGTGAGTGGTGAGCTCACATTCTGTTCCTCTCCTTAGCTTGCTCCTCGCCTCAGATTCCCAGGACAGACACCTTCTGTTTCAGTAAAGCATGCTCAGAGCAGCACCCTCCAACAGAACTTTCTGGAATGCAGAAATGTTCCCTATCTGCACTGTCCAGTATGGTAGCCACTAGCCACATGTGGCTATTGAGCTCTTGAAATGTGGGGAGTGAGACCAAGGATCCAAATGTTTAATTTTCTTCTATGTTCATTCATTTAAATAGTCACCTGAGACTGGTGGCTACTACAGCACAGAGTTAGAAGTTTCAAGGGACGGAGCACCTTGCAGCTAAATCACTCCCAGCCTTGGACCAGGAGGGTCTGTCCCTAGAGCCTTCCCTCCATCAGCCAGTGATCTGCTCTGGGCCCCATAGGGGCAGCTGCCTCCAGGAACAAGCCAGCCTCCTCTCCTCACTCATCCAGTGACCTGTTTGTGGCTCCCAATCCTTTTTTCTTGCTAAAGGACCTCTTTGGTTGAGAGCAGGTCTCAGAGCTGTGAGATGTGGCAGACAGAGCTCTGGCCAGGTAACCTGGGATCTGTGCCACATCTCCCCACCTGTGAAGTGCGCTAACTACACCAACTTCATCAGGCAACCTCCATGAGGTCAGTGAGGGTGGTGGGCAAACCGAGGTGCTTTATATGGGTAAACATTGGCCCTTTTGTGATTATCCTAGTTTTTAGGTGAAACTAGACTAGTTTCTCAGTGTGTACGTTGCCTGCTGGAGGCCTCCGAGGGCATTTCCTAGAGCTCCTAGCTGATCAGAGGAGGCCCAGGCAAATCGTGTGAAGCAATCTGGGAAGGAAGGGACTTGTCACTCACGCACTTAGAGTCCCGATCTGCAGCAGACCTTTCAGGCCAGAAAAACATGGCAGTCGGGGGAGTCACTCCAACAAGGCTTCACTGCCAGGGGGTGTCACAGGGCAGAGGGTGTGCGTAGATGGCACTCTCATTTCTACCAGCATCACAGACTGTCATTTTTACAATAGCGATGGTGACGTCTCACAAGGCCCCGGATTTGATTTTAAACATCACAATAGTTTCCAGGCATTTTATAGTTCATGGCTATAGAACATGGTTACACTATTATCTGCACATTTAGTCTTCACGACTGCCCTGTAAGGCACACTGGGAGTTAGGATGGACCTCATGTCGCAGATGGGGAAACCAAGCCCCGGGAGAAGGGGATCCCTGATGTGACAACACAGACAGGTGTTGCTAACAGCCAGCCCGGGCCTGTGGGCTGCATCCTGCCTGTGGTGCCACTCTCGGCTTCTCTGCCAGCACACCCTACCAGGCCTGAGTCCCAGCCTCACTCCGTGGCCTGCGTCTGTCACTCACTGAGCTGCTGGGCACGTCTGGGATATTTTGAAACACAAGCCCTAAGGCCTGTGCAGGTAGCAGCCTCTTTCTTGAATAATGGACATCCCTCTTCAGCCCAAATCCAGTTCTCAGGCCCTGCAGGGCCTGGCAGCCCCAGAAGGTTGTGATGTGACCCCATTCTCCAGCTGGTCCATCCCCATCTCCTCCGGGGTAGCCTTACCTGAAGGCCTGCATCTTGCAGGGTCTTCTCCCAGGGGGGCGGCAGGCTGTCTCTGAAAAGAACAGGAAGAGGAGGAGAGAGATTAGGTGAGCGCAGAGGCCCCTGCAGATATCCATCCTGTGGCTGCAGCAAGGCACTGGACTGCCATTGTGGGCTCAGAGTTGCTGCTTATAAAGAAATAGTCACTCACCGAAGCGAAGCTGCTGCCACCCTGTCCCACTCGGAGAAACGGAAATACCCTCCTCACATTTCCAAAAAGAGAAACCCTTGCTGTTGTCACTTTAACCCTGCTGAGTGTCGCAATGGGGTGTCGAAACCGATTTCCTCCCCTTTTTCCCCTGTGCAATTTCCCCAAAATTGAGATTTCTGTTTCCCCTTCATTGAGTTCCTGGGAAGAAGAGCACAATGAAAACCAAACTCTCTCATTTGCCTGACAGGTACTGTTTGTTGACTTTTTATAAAAACAGATTTGAGCAGAAATGCACCCCTGTCATGATATATCAAGCCAAGTAATAGCACTCTCCGCACACGGGAGAGTCTCATGTCACTTTGTGAACATCGAAGGAGGGACAGCCTTGGACTCCGGACGTGGATTGGCAAACATTCTGTAAAGGACCAGATAGCAAATATTTTATGCTTTGTGGGCCACACAGTCTCTGTCATGATTACTCAACTCAGCTGTCATTTCACAAAGCAGTCGCAGACACTCTGTAAACCAACACGCCTAACTGTGTTCCAATACAACTTTATTTACAAAAGCAGGGGGTAGCCTGGATTTGAAGTCAGCTGACCCCTGCTCGAGGGAAAAGTAAGTCCTTCCTGAGAACTGCTTTTAAACCAACTCTCTTCCCACTCTCCCATGTCTTTAAAGTTACGGTCTCAGGAAAGTGAGGGGAACTCAGCACTTGGACAAAAATGGGTCCAAATCCAACCTCTGCCACTTGCCATATGCCACCTTTGTGACCTTGAATAAGTTACTTCCTGTGTTGAGCCTCTGCCCCCTCATTCTCAGAAAGAGGATGATCTTGTTTTCCTCACAGGTGGCAAGAAGAAAGGAAGGAAGGAGAGAAGGAAGGAAGGAAGGAGAGAGGGAAGGAAGGAAGGAAGGAAAAGAGGGACAGAGAGAGGAAGAGAGGAGGGAGGAAAGAGAAAGCTTTTGGCCCTCAGTAGACACTAACAAACATTAACTTCCTTCCTCACAATATTCTAGACAGTTAGGAAAAAGGTAAGCATGCTCCTATTCTATAGATAGAAGAAGCTGAAGACGGTTTCTACATGATCTATGGGACAGGTAATGTTAGCACAGGAGCACAGACTGTCTTGGAATTGGGTGGGAGCTTCGCTATCATTGTATTCCACCCTAGAATTGTTCTACAGAAGACTCAGAAAGACCCAGAAAAAGGAAGGGACATGGGCAAGGGCACCCAGCTTGTTAATAGCAAAGGTGTGCCTGGAAATCCAGGTCTTCTGGCTCCCAGCCTCAGGTCATCCTACCACAGCAGTTGATCTTGATGAATGTGACTTTATTTTCAACCAATGAATCAGAGTCTGTGTCCAGATGAGGGTTGTGTCCTTCAAACAAGGAAGGCTACAAATGAATTTCCCAAATCTTTCAAGAGCTACTCTTTCAGAGCAAGGGGAACATTTCTGCAAAAATTGGATCAGCTCCCTGGGTGAAGGCTTTCACCAGCAAATGGCATGTCCATATTCCTGCACTGTCCTCACAAGCTGTGTGACCTTGAGTGAGTCATTCAGCCTCTTTGAAACATGCTCAAGAAATAGTATCTCCCTTTGGATAGGGAAATGGTGTATCCAAGGGGACATTTTGTTTGTTCATCTATTTGTTTGTTTTAGTGAGGGCTGGATGAAGGAGATGAGGTATACAAACCAGCTACTTTCAAAATTTGTTCCATTAGGGTTTAAATTTTCTGGAACATTTATTAGTCATCAGGTGCATAACTTTGTCATTACACCTGCTGAAAGGGAAGGCAGCTAGTGCCCAACTGTGATAGGTTCTCTCCTCCTTGTCTTTCTTATGCTACTTCTAAATCCCTCCTGAATTTTTAAATCAGGATTCTCCCAATATATGTCCTTGAAGATTGAATAAGAGAAGTGGCTCTCTAAGGTGGGATGGAGTGGTTCCATCCTGGCCACCGCCCTCACACGGAATTCCAAGTCAATGTCCCACCTACATTGAGGCTCCTGGGTAAATGTTTCTTCAAACCGAATTCAGAGACAGAGATTGAGAGAGAGAGAGAGAGAGAGAGAGAGCTTCCCTCCAGAGAACAGACACTCTGGGCTCTCGGAACATCCCTGGTCAGTGTCCTTTACCCATGTGCCCTGAGAAGTGGCCTAGCATGGCCTTTCCTGGTATGTGGGGGTAGGGGGTCCTTGGCTGTGGAGTCGGGCCAACCTGAATCTGAATCCTCCCATGTCACTTACGAGCTGGGCCACCCCACACAGTGTGCAGAGCTGTCTTGGTCTCAGTTTCATTATCTGTTAGATGGGCTAATAATAGAAGCCACGTCATGGGTTGCTATAAGGGTCAAATGAGATACTGCACGTGATGTGTCGTGCTCTGACCCTGGCACATGGGAAGTACTCAAACAGCAGCTACTGCATATGCTTCTTTACCCCAGGTAAAGTGGGGGTGCTCAGTCATGGCGCCCCAAACCCTATTGCCCCTACCCTGTACCCCACCTCCCTGCTCTGTGTGCTGGCCCACACCCCTTTCCCAGCTCAGAGGAGGGGGCTCTGACTACAGAGGAGGTGGCTCTGACTCACTCTGGGTGGGAGACAGAGGAAAAGGGGGAAGGGAAGTGCTCTTCCCCTCTTCCCCTCTCACGCCTCTGGCCGCAATTCCACTCTTGGTTCCGTCTTACCTCACCAAAACAGTTGGCGTCCCTGGGATTTCTGCCCACAGGAAATCTCTGACTAAACTTATTCTCAGTTCTGGGTACTCAGCCCCCTACTCTGCTTCCCGAATGAAGCTCAGGGACCACAGCACACAGTGGACTCCACCTTTGCAGTCAGCACCTGTGCCTTCCCCCCAGGCTCTGGTCATCACAGTTGTAAACAGTGCCGCCTACATGCTGAGCCCGTGCCCACCACTAGACACTGGTGACAACAGAAACATCCAAGACCCTGTTAAAGGGGCCTTGGCGAGGCAGGGAGATAGAGAAACCAGGCCGTCTGTGTCTTAGGAGCCATACTATACGGCTGTAGAGAGACACGTTTTGTGTCAGTGCCTGTAAATTATGGAGCACGTGCCATCCGTGTAGGAAGTGTTTAATAAACGCTGGCTGTTTCTCAATTTCAGTTAATTGCATCTTTCAGTTCTAGGATTTACACTTGGTTCCTTTTTTGTATGGTTTCTAGTTCTCTGCCAAACTTTCCAACCTTGCCTTTTAAATCTTCAAGCATATTCTCCCTGGTTCTTTTAAAGGCTGCCCCTGACAACTGCATGATTTGAACCCCTGCTGGCTCTCCTTCTGTTGTCTGTTTTCCCTAATGCACAGGTCATCTTGCATACAGCTGATTACTCTTTATTGACTGCTGGGCACTGTATGTCAAAAACTGTAGAGATCATTCGAGGCTCTGGGTGATGTTATCTTTGCCCCAAGACTATGCACTTTTGCTCCTGCTGGGCAGGTGGGCCAGGAGCACCGCAGCCCCAGGTAACTTCCATCCAAACAAGACTCGAGAACATTCGGAGGTGGGCTACGGTACCTGTGAGGGCAGCTCCACATTTCCAAACTGGTGGGGTTTATCAGGGCCCCTCCTTCTAGGAAGCATGTAAAGTATAATTTTTTTTTTTTTTTGAGACAGAGTCGAACTCTGACTCCCAGGCTAGAGTGCGGTGGCGTCAGCCTAGCTCACTGGAACCTCAAACTCCTGGGCTCAAGTGATCCTGCTTCCTCAACCTCCCGAGTAGCTGGGACTACAGGCATGCGCCACCATGCCTGGCTAAGTTTTCTATTTTTAGTAGAGACTGGGTCTTGCTCTTGGTCAGGCTGGTCTCAACCTCCTGAACTCAAGTGATCCTCCCACCTGGGCCTCCCAGAGTGCTAAGATTATAGGCGTGAGCCACCACTTGTAAAGTACAAATTTTATCTCTGTCACCAAGTCCTATGAGTCCTCCAAATGTCAGCTATAGTGTTTGAAACCAGCAATGGCCCCAGGGTAAAGGGTCTCACTGCTGGGCTCCACCTCTCTGGGCCCCAGCAGTCACTTACAGCCTTGGCCATTCTCTGATGCCTTCAAACAGATCTTTTAGAAATACATTTTGTATAGCTTTTCTAGTTATTTGCAGCAATGGGCTTGGTCCTGAACGACCTAGGCCAGAGGTGGAAGCTGATATTATCTACTTTTTAAAAGTCTTATTATTCAGCATGGCTGGAGTTTGAGTGGCATTTGGGTGTAGGGGCAGGAGAAGTGATTGAAAATTTGGGTGGGGCTGGGTATGGTGGTTCATGCCTGTAATCCCAGCACTTTGGGAGGCTGAGGCAGGAGCATTACTTGAGGCCAGGAGTTCAAGACCAGCCTGGGCAACATAGTGAGACCCCATCTCTACAAAAAATTTAAAATTAGCTGGGTGTCTGTAGTGTCAACTATTTGGAAGGGTGAGACAGGAGGATTGCTTGAGCCCAGGAGTTCAAGCTACAAGGAGCTATGATGATGCCACTGCACTTCAGCCTGGACAACAGAGCGAAAACCTTTCTCTTAAATAAATAAATAAGAAAAGTTGTGTGGCAGCCAGAGGAGGAAAGTCCTTTAATGTCACCCCAAGGAAGTGGGGATGTATGTTAAAGAAAACTGAATCAGAGGGCGATGTTGCCAGGTCTGTTTTGCTAAGATCATGTTGGGGACAGTGGACAGATGGATTAGACTTGGATGGGGTAATTGAGCCTGAAGGAAAGGCAGTGGTGTGCTAAGTGTTTAACAACTGGTTATCCAAAAACAAAAATTCAATTTGTAGAGTTTGCTGATTTCTGTGGTGTAAATACTCTGCCACGGATGATCTCAAGCTACCAACACGAGATCACCGAATGCAGAGTTGGGAGGGATGTGCACAGTCAGATCTCGCTGGCTCCAGCACCCACAAAGGCAGGGAGATTTGGCTGTTCTTCTGTCTTTCTAGAGACAAATCATCCCCACATTTTCTAATTCCAACTTCCCT